CATCCCTTTTCACCTAGCTGCATCGTCGCATCGAGCAATTCTTACTACCCGATGGTAGCGGAGAATTCCAGTTCTCTGCAAATTGAGGTGCAGTTGCAACGATGAGCCGAATCTGATTAATCATGTTGTCTCAGTCTTACTTCTGGTGACTGATGAGATCATGGTACGGACTACTCCGTACGGTACTATTGCTCGGTTGATCGGCAAATTTCACCAGAACACCGACACCGATACCGACGCTGCCGCCATTCTCTGATAGCGACAGATTTGCACGCTTTGATTGACACAATAATACAACGCCTACGTCATATGTTTCTGTAGTATCCCGTGTCTATCAGTCACCGACAATCATATGCAGCAATTTACGAGGGATTATTCCTGACTCGGCCGATGACCGATACCGTAGTCCTATCGGTGACGGCTATAGTATCAGACACAAACCACTGAATACTCAAGTGTGATTCGTTTTGACTGCTAATTTGTCCTTCTTGAGCGCGGCTAAGCTTGATTACTGATAGGCACTGAGGGAGTTTAGAAACATCCACGGAGTACGGAGTAATATTAATGAGCGAGGAACGAGATTCCCGTTTCGGTTAGTGTCGGTGTGAATAGGGTTACGCTGGACGACGTATTTTGCCGATTCAGGCAAGAGACCAGGGGGATCAATTTGCTAAGCTTCAGATGTCAATACTCAGTTCACTCATATCTCGAATCTATAGTTGTCTAAAAATAAGGAAATTGACTCATGATCGTCTGCTCATTTAACCAATTAACCAGTAATTCAAAAGCGTATTCACTGGGCAGCGAGCAAGCGCAAACACCAAGTCCGAAGCTCTGACAAATAAGAAATGACAATAGCATCAAAATTACCCTTATTACCTCGCAGAAGAGACAATCCCCGCTCGCTACTGGCCCCAGTCTGGGATAAATAAGATGAACCGACGCTCATCCCGCGAAAACCGAGACTAATCAGCTAGACCGACTGATCCATTTGGCGCCTATGTTCTTGGCTTCGCTCTGTGTTCTCGTACCTACAGTAGCCGACTCCATAGTGCCAGTCGGACTGGCATACTAGCTTCCAAAGCGGCAAGTGGGCATCTCCCACTCACCGGTGCTAAATTGCAACCAGGTACGGACGGAGTAATCTGTCGGCGAGTCCATTGACTAACACTCTAGCGGTTAGTACCATTATCCTAGTGGTAATATCGAACGCCCCACCGGGACGATCGGCCTGGTTTGCGTGCCAAGCTGTCTCATCGAGGATCCTGGTGAGGGATTTTCTGCAGTCGTGGAGTAGGAGATGGCTGGGTGATTAATTGCATTACACATAGTATGGAGTATGGAGTAAATCAGCACCGCACCGTTCTGGAATATGTCATACCGCAACGACTGCACAGTAAAGAGGACAATACAATCCTCATCTTGGCCCCAAGACGTGCAACTACCAAAACCAACTAGGGATTGAGCCATACTCCAAATCCCCATTCTGTAGGAGTCCCATCGTCCTCGTAATAGGCGAATTTGCGGAGTACGGAGTAGTGGACTGCACCTTCCTCAGTCAATCGCGCTACAACCGCACCTGCAGTTCGCTTCACTCTCTCCCAGACAGACAAGCAAAATTGACATCCAAAAGATCCCCTGCAGCATCGTGCAGGACACGGGATGTAATCCCTCGCCAACCGCGGAATACCATTTAGACACGTTTGAGTTGGATTCTACGGTGCCACGTTCAAGTGCATGCCGTCCACCGCAAAGTGTCGATATGCAAGAGTCAAATGTGGCACTTTGCATTGGCAATGGCAAGGAGCAAGGTGAATGCGCTCTCGGATGAGATCCGAGTTTTCAAGTCTGCAGTCTGCCTCCGAGTCCGAGTCGGGATACTCTACGGCTACGGACTACGGAGAATTCTGGAGATATCCCCTTGGGGTAGAAGCACTAAGCACTAGCGGTGGCAAGCACGTATCTCAGTCTGTAGTACCCTCGTACACAGTATGGAGTATGGAGTATGGAGAGACATGCTCCATCGCATTAGACTTAAAATGATGACCGGTCTGGAGGTTTACATAACTAGGGGACTTGAGTGAATGGCGGCTGTAACAGCAGAGAAAAAGTAGAGTTTCAACGAGCAAAAAAGACTGGCAATTATCAACAGACAATCGGCATCATCATCTCTCAAAAACGATACTCAAGGTGAAGAATATCGCCCGAGAGTTTTCCACGTCAATTCGGCATGGCGACTCTGGCATCGGTAGGAATTGGAGGTATCGGCCTACACGGCACCGCGGGAATCGGCACGTCGAGAAAAGTCAACTGCGGAATATATGATTGGTTTGGCACTACGCAACTGATTCCCTGAGTGAGGCGAACCGTTCTTCGGTTAGATTCTATGGATATTTGACAATGGGGTTTGAATCATTTTTACTGAGGATCTTTTGCGGCCCTACCAGACCCAGGTGTCGGCCACGGGCAGAGCGCGGGATACGCCATACTATCCGTACATGCAACCTTAGCGGGTCGTGGCAACTCGAACATGTGCCGTAGAAGAAACAAGCTGGATTGTGCTCAAAAGACCTGCATAACTTGGCATTGTTAGTCATCCGCATTCTTCATCTAGGGACTATGTGATGTTAGCAGCAATTACAGATGTCTGATGATGCACTTTGTGTCTCCTTACGTCTATTACAATTAAAAATAAACCTAAAGACTGTATGCCGAGGCCTAGAACCTGAAACTGAGACAGCTTCAACAGTCACCAGACAATGCCTCGGTTGACAAGATACAAAGGAGTTATTCCTGACTGTCTGTTTACAGCTTCCCAAAAAGGGTGATCGACAGGTGCGCCCGACATGGGCGCATCGACTATTGCTTGCGGGTGTCTATCGCTATACCATCGAAACCATAATTGTCCGATACTCACCTGCATCAGGGTTATCATGCTCTGATATGATGTAAGAGGATGGGGTAATTGCAGCAGATCTACTCCGTACAGAGTAGAGAGCTCGGACAAGGAGTACTTTACGGAGTAGAATGCTTCATGTCTCCGCCACGACTGCATCCATCTTTCTATCTAGGGATTGCTCATGGTGTCTGACATGGCCAAGAAAATCATACTGTACATCAACAGCAGTACTCGGCAGGCAGATCTATCCAAACAACGACGGTTTGACAATGCGTGATGGCAGACCCTGCATCGCAAAGGCCAAGAAGCCCCTGAAAACGAATCTGGATAGGGGCTCGCATGATTCGATCTTAGACGCAGATCGTCTTAATGATCTCGGGAGAGTCTCAGACTCAGTCAGCTTCGTTTCAAATGAGCCGTGCTCTATGATGTCACTCGGACTGGACAAATATTTGATACTCTGTTCTTCGGTGTCTTGGCTGAATATATCCGAATCCGCGACAGCGTCATGGCATTGACATGTATCAGTATTATCGATTGAATCAACTACGATTCAAGAAAACGAAATTGGATACAGATCATCAACCAAGCCAATAGTCCTACTTCCGCCAAGCATACCGAATCCCCTGATGTGCAGCCTGCGGCAAGGAACATGCTTGGCATCTCACTCTTCATCCCGATACAGAGTAGTAGAAACTAATGATATATGGGGTATGGAGTAGTCTCAGCGGTCTATCTAGTGATACCACCGCCAAACTTACTCCTCATTTTTGGTCCTCGCAAACTCAAATCATGAGCAAATCATGAGGACAGACAATGCCATGCAGTAGGACAAGGACGATCCCGTCTCTTGGCAATCAGTTGCAGTCCATCAGAACAGCACTGCCTCCCTAACTCAATACAGCAATATGCGCACTTCCTGCATACAGACATGTCGTCTCACTACCAGAAAGTATCCTCTTCTGCATCTATGCCCTCCCAACCAACCATGTCCCTTCCATAACTCCCCGCCAAGCCCTGCACTGCATTCCCTCCCTTTTTCTATCGTCTTGGCAAGCCCTCCATTTCCCCCTTGGGGCAATCAGACGTGTCTGCGTGTCTGACGAGGTATCACGGGGGGAACGATCGGTTCATTTCATTTTCGCGCATACGCTGCTGTGCTGCGTTCGAGTCTTGGCGCGCTCCCTAGATGAGCTGTTTATCTGGATATGCGGATCTTCCCCGAGCCAGCGAAGCGCAATGACTGGTCTACCCCGTAGATAGCTATGATTGATGTGGCAGGTGTGGTGCACACTGACAAGCTAGGTATGGCAATCCTCTTGGCACGGGGCGGACGGACGACGCTCGACTTGCAATATCTGGATAGAGGTTGATTGTTTCGTGTGAATTCGGAGGGTTGACTTGATTTGGTATGATCCAGGAGTTACACGGTGTGGATGGTTGTTGACTTATCAGTTGGCATTCACTCCTACTCTGTGTAATGCTTGTCTTGGAAGTGAGGGAAGGGATCTTGGCGGTGGTGAGAGGTATGCAAGGTGGACGTATAGCTGAGAGAGTGGAAATGAATGTACTCATACTAATATTGATCAGTCTTAAGGGTAGGATGGAGTATGTCCGCTCTGTGCATGTGTTATGCCATTATGCGTCTATTATGCAATGCTAGAGGCTCTTGTTTAGCTGTTTATATACTGTTCCACGCTCAGAGGAGGAAGCTATGTGAGTGGAGTACTTAGTACAGTAGATAGACTGAAATATAAATCCAAGCCTTCTATCCGCAGAAGTCATAGATATCATCCCTGTTTAACGACCCTATCGCAGATAGACATCTTTCAGGAAGCGACTTCAGCAGTGGGATCAGCATTTAATGTGCTCAGGTCTGAGAGCTTGTGATTTTGCACTGCAGTGTGTAGATGGAGCTATCACTAGGCCAAAGATCCTAGACGCAGTTGATCTTGCTGTCCTATCTTTCGAGCCTGGCTTGTCAGCCTCAGGGAATACGACTAGCCGCTGACTGCGTTGAATGGCAGCTGATACATGTCACTGCCTCATTGAAGAGGTTCATGACTGTCATCGCCATCCAATGCATATTCTTCCGCTCCGATCAAAATGTGATCTTGATGCCCACTGTACAAGGCACCAGAGTCCCAGGCATAAGCCTCTCGATGGCGAATTTGGCCCGCCAACCCGTGCAGTGACCAGGCAGAAGCACAGCCGGATCAAGCTTCTTCAGGTCCTTGATCGTGCTCTCCGTCTGCTGTTCCTCACTAGTGGCCAGATGGAAGCCCCCCACAACCGCATGAAGAGGAACAGAACCATCCAGGCATTCAACCGCATGCTTGGCCGCGTTGACCACTCCAGCATGGCTGCAGCCCGTGAACATGACGATTCCTTTCCCTGGTGCAGTCAGCATCGACTGTACAGTAGCCGGAAGAAGTACGCTTGTGCGTGACCAACATGCCTTTCAGATTACACATCAAGAATCGTTCATCAGCAATGAGCTCGTCGGAAAACCAATCGTTATCCTCGTGGCTGAAGCGCATCCCTCCCTTCAGCCCGTTCTCGTAGGCAGTGTGCCGAGGGATTTCCCCCGATACAAAAAAGAAATCATCGAGAACAGTATGTGCCTCGCCATGTTTGTCGGCCACGGCCCCAGCTGCCTCGATCTCCTCGAATGCAGGATCAGCTTGGAGGGATATGATCTTCTGACCAATAGTCATCCCTCGATAGTCGGGGCGCGAAGGGTGCAAATCTGCCAACAGGCCCCTGGGAAGACCTTTGGCCTGCTTGGCTTCGTTGATTAAGCGAATGGCGCGCAGAAGACCACCTGAGCATCGTCAACCGCTGTCCAACGAGCCGCAACTGCCATCGAACAAACCCGAATGATCCCTATGCCAATGCGACAACTGGATAACCTCTACAGAGGCAAGATCTGCCCTTAGCCGCTTCGCGTTCCTCTCCCAAGCATCTTCCTCCGGACCTGCGTCGAAGAGCACCGAGTGGCTCACATCACCTTTCGTCGCAGTCTGCGAAGAGTCAGCGTCGCTTCGAAACTCCGTCTTATCGACGTCTACTTACCACCAGTATTGACAACCCGTGAGCAGAGCAGCAGATGTCTTCCATTCTCAGCTCTTTCTGAGCATCACCCCTCTCCTTGAGGTCGTGAGGCGACCCCGCCGCAAGACTAGCCATGAGGCCGGAGACATGGACGGTGTCTGGCGCGACGGGCGACAAAGGGTCGAGCTCATTGTCTATGATGACGAGTGCTTCAAGAGAGTCAATCTCTACTAGATCGGAGCTGGGCATCTTGCTTATATTGGACGATGTGTCGATGAGGAAGACCTTGTTGCGTGGAGGGGTAATGATAGAGGGGACATGCAGGTTGCAGTAGGTGAAGGGCTAGGCCTGGGTGCACGAGGCGTGGCCTGACAGTGTCACTCTAGACTACTTGATTGGGGAGATATGTTTTGGCTTTATTTACCCGAAATTCAATGGCGCAAGTTCAATGTTGGATACTTGTTTGGTGCACATCCTTTAGAGATATATATTTGTGCTTATTACCTCATACTGAGGTCGGCTTATGACCCACCCTACAGAATCCCTACAATTCCACAATCATCCCATTATAAATACCCCGGTCAACATAGAGTAAGGTGAGTTTATATATTGTATCATACTCATCCTCTTCCCGTAACATTTCTAGCGTCCTCCGGGATTACATGCATCGAATGGTTGACGCCACCCTCTTCTTGACGCTTGTCGGCCTACAAGGAGATACAGGCGAATTCCCTGATGGCATTTTCCTACCCTGAAGTTTTCGCATCTGTTGAGAGAACGGCCGTTTATCAACACGGGTGGACCAATGGCTGTATCTGGACCAGGACTGAAGCTGTTGTCACCGACGAGTCCACCAGCACCAAGCCCATCCACACAGCCTGCAGCTAGCAAGAGCGGGAGTAAGAGTGCAAGGCTTCTGTTGAACCTACTGTGGAACTCAGTAGCGAGATCGTTCTCTGTATAGTGGTAGTCAAGGAGTTCCTGGCAGTCTCAGCGGTCATAGCCAGTTGGCGTTATGAGGCTTTGGTCCTGCGTCAAGTTTCCATTATCGCTCATACTTATGACGAGCAATACTAGCAGAGCCGAGCAAAGTGCCTTGCTGCAGCGTATAATCTATTGGCGAAGTTGGTGAAAGGCTGTAAGCTGGTTCCTCTTAAGGAAAAAGGGTAGAGTGTTCTGCTCCCTGGATCCAACAGTACCAGATATTCGCAGATTCTGCTCGATTTGACATAACTTTGAAAACGAAAGCAATTGCCATACCGTAGTTCCTGTAGTTTAGTGATGGGAAAGCGCGCAGGGACACAGACGGGGCCCCAGTGCGTTGTCTCGTGAGCCTGATGGTACAGCCGGTAGAGGGCTCACGCAAGAAACGCAGCAAACTTTGGAAGCTTAGTGAGGCTTTTGTATGTGATGAGCAAGTGGCCACGAAGTGGCTCGTGGATGTTCTAGAAAAGGACTATCTCTGGGTGAGAAGCTTCAATCAATAAGTTCATCACAGCATCTCGGTACCCCAAACTCCCGTACTGCGGGGAAATCCGTAGCGACGATCAATCTCCAATATTCGGCTCAAGGCTCAAGCAAGATTCAATCAATATGACCACGGTTACTAGTAAGTCGATAACTCCATGATTCATCTTCCTTTCTAATTTCTTCCAGTCCATTCAGCCTGATACTGTCCACCGCAGTGGATGAACCTACCCACAATGCGTTTCCTCCTTCTCCCCTTAATCCTCCTCCTACTCAGCGCATCCACCACTGCAACCGCCAAACTCGCCCCAACATGCTTCAAAGTCGTTGCCGCACTCGTTAGCCGACCAGGCGACCTGTACGAGAAATTCCAGCGCGAAATCTGCGACAAGGGCTGCCAGCCGACCGTCCCACACTGGGACCTGTGGACGCGCAACAACACCTTCCTGCCCGCTGTCCGCAGCGTGATGAAGCAGTTGGATGTACCCCGACAGGAAGAAGCGATGGTGCGATTGGGCGATGATGCAGCGAAGGTCATCAAACAGCGGTGCGGTCCGATGCTTGAGGGCAAACATATCTGCTCGGACTCGGAGACGCTGGCGGCGTTTGGGAATTGCTTCAAGAAGACCTTTGTGCGGTCGGCTATTACGAATCTACCGGCGCTGTTGCCTATGGTGTCGGAAGCGCTGTGTCAAGAGCAGTACGCATATCTCAAGGATGATCAGTTGTGGGATGAAACGATTCCGAATAATATGAGAGAGTACGCGGCTGTTTGTCGGGATTTGGGGAATACTGCGAATACGGAGAGTGTACAGGGGCAATTGGATGAGGGGAGATATAACAATGATGAATTATAGCCTCAGGGTCCTTCTAATTCTACATACCCTTGTTATGATAATATTAATGATAACTGGAGGCGTTGAATTCTATCCGAAGGTACGGAGTAAGATCGAGCCGCGAGATATTATCTCCGATGACGAAAGCCACGGCACTGACCGCCAGGAATTGTTCCTGACTGTTGTCATGTCAGCGCTGTCAGCATCGGTCGATCGAGCTTACTTTTACTTCTTCTTCACCAGAATGGAAATGTCTGTTCGCTGCAGTTGTTGATGTTATCCATCAACGCACCATGAGATACTGGATGTCTTGATGTCGCTGTCCTCTATGTCCTTCATTCGAATGGCGTCGCGAATGACGTGGGCTTCCCGCTTGATGCGGCCCAACCCCATCGTGTCTCACGGCCATCGACGCTTTCCTGCGCCCTCCCTACAAACTTGTCCTCGTCGTTTCGTTCATCCGGGTGAATTCAAACCATTTGTGCCCCCTTCTCCGAGTTCATTAGGCAAACCCGTCCCCGCGAAGACCTACACCCGCACTCGCAAATGGCTCCGCCGTCTCGCCTACCTCTCCATAGCCACCGGAGTGATCTACGCCATCGACACTCAGTTCTACGCATCCTCACTAACGAGGACGGCTCGGACGTTCTCGCTTGGACTCCTCGTCGCGCTAGACTACAAAATTAACTTCCGACCGAACCCACTATTTGCTGAATCCATCACAGCCCTGCACGCCCGCAACGCGGAACGACTGTTTGACCTGCTCCGGCATAATGGCGGCCTGTATCTGAAAATCGGGCAGGCGATTGCCATGCAATCTGCCATTCTGCCCCCGGAGTTTCAGAAGATGTTTGCCCGGATGTTTGATGATGCGCCGCAGAATGACTGGAAGGACGTGGAGAAGGTGATCCGGGAGGACTTTGGGAAGTCGCCTGAGGAGGTTTTTGGAGTGTCTTTCTCAGGGGATCCGACTAAGGGTGTTTTGGAGCGCAGGGCTAGGGCGAGCGCGAGTGTCGCACAGGTCCACTGGGCACGATTAGCAGATGGCCGAGAAATTGCTATCAAGGTTCAGAAAAGGGAGATTGCCCAGCAGATCCAATGGGATCTGTGGGCTTTCAAGTAAGTCCATCACATTATCCTTCGGGGACGGATGCTAACGAGACCAGAGTGGTCACTTGGGTCTATTCCCGCACATTCGATATCCCATTCTACAGCCTGGTACCGTACATAAGCGAGCGACTGTTCCTGGAGACGGACTTTGAGAATGAAGCGACCAATTCGGAAACCATGGCTAAGCTGGTGGCCGGCGAGTCGCGTCTGCGAGGCCGCGTCTACATTCCCAAAGTCTACCGCGAGCTCAGCTCGAAGCGTGTCATGACCGCTGAGTGGATCGAAGGAATCCGGTTATGGGACAGAGAGTCCATCACTCGTCCGTGGCTCGGTGGTTGGCGCGAAGGCAGCCCGGGATGCCAGGGGACACCGTTAGATGCTCCCCAGACCGAAGATCCGGTGGCCAAGGTTGCGAGGAACCCCAATCTGGCCAAGATCAAGCCGGAGCGCAACCACTGGCGCGGCTGGAACGGCAAAGGCGGCCTAGGTCTGTCGCTCAAGGACGTGATGACCACAATGGTCGACCTCTTCTCCGCACAAATGTTCCTTTGGGGCTGGGTGCACTGCGATCCGCATCCAGGCAACATCTTCATCCGGCGCAAGCCCTCGGGCCAGGCGGAGCTGGTCCTCATCGACCACGGCCTCTACATCCACATGGACCCCAACTTCCGCCACCAGTACGCGCGCTTCTGGAAGGCCCTGCTGACCTTCGACAACCGCACTCTCAGCGAGATCGCCGAGGGCTGGGGCATCCGCAACTCGGACATGTTCGCCTCCTTCACGATGATGCGCCCCTACCGCGGCGGCGACCTCTCCACGCGCCAGCACCTGGAGGGACTGAGCAAGGTAGAGCGCGCCCAGCGCCACTACGAGATGCAACAGGCTGCCCGCAAGGCCATCCGCGAGATCCTCGCGGATGAGCAAAAATGGCCCCAGGAACTCATCTTCATCGGCCGCAACCTGCGCATCGTCCAGGGGAACAATCAGTTCCTCGGCTCGCCCGTCAACCGCGTCAAGATCACGGGCATGTGGGCGTCCCGTGCGCTCGCCGAGTCGCCCGATCTGCCCTGGTCCGAGAAGATCCAGAACCTCGGCCGACATCTCCTGTTCCGCGTCGTGCTGTTCACCAGCGATCTCTTCTTCTACTTTACCAAGGTGCGGCAGTTCCTGCATCTGGGCGGCGGCATGGAGGATGATATCGAGAAGCAGATGAAGGATATGGCCAAGGATATGGGGGTGGATTTGAACCAGAGCATTTTCGAGGGCTAGATTTGTGTCTCGAAGACTTCTCCCCTCGATTGTACTATATGATTAGATGACATGGACATACAAAATAGAGCTTGAAAGTCTCATTTCATTTTTATTCTACTTTTTGTAGACAAATGCGCCGTCGAAGAATCATATATCATAGCCATAACGACCATAAAACTCCCGCCAAATTCGATCCATAACCATCGCTCATCGCTCATAAGAACAAAAGGGTATCTAACTAGTATTCCCACCCGGAGAACCCCAACGGTCTCCATTCCTGCCCCGGGTACGCCGTACTCGACATGGTGATCTCCTCGCCCGAGTCGTCATCCCACTGCACTGGCAGTTCCACCGGTGCATCGTCGGCATTGACTGCCCTCGCCTCGCCGCGGTGCGGATGGTGCTGGCTCTGCGCTTGCGCTTGGTCTTGCCCTTGCACTTGCTCACGATTCTGGTCCCCGCTCTGGTCCGTCGCAGCCTTCTCATCCGGAACAACAGGCTGCTGCGGCTGCCCGTGTACCTCCGAGTCCTCCTCGTAGGTCGGCAGCCGCGACGACTGCAGGAGCCGCTGCGTGGTACTCTCCAGCCAACTTCTCTCCCCCTCGGTCGCGGTCGCGCCGGCGGCGTGCTCCTCGTCCGAGTCGCTTGGCAGCGTGAGTTTCCAGGGGAGTTCCTGGTCGCCGATGCGGCTGGTGCGTGGGTTGCTGCGGAAGGTTCCTAGGTTGTTGGCTGGGTCGGAGGTGTCGGTGCTTGGGTAGCTGCGTTCTTCGGGCCGTGGGGGGAAGGTCTTGGGGCTGCGGGAGCGGAGGTGGAGGTCTTGGGCGTAGGCGCGGTCGACGCTGCGGCCGCGGGAGGGTGGCGTGCGGGGGATAGCTTGGGGGATGGGAGAGGTGAGATGTGGGGGTGGAGAGAGTTGTGGAGAGAGTTGGGAATGATGAGGGCTTGGTGGTAGTGTCATCGGTTGTTGTTGGTAATAGAGTTGGAGGTGTGGAGGGGGAGCAGGAGGTGGTGGTGATTGGGGGGAGACTCTGCCGCTATATGAAAAGGAGCCTGCAGGTGAAGGCAGTCTATCTGGGGGAGCGAGCCGGCTGTCAGGTTGCTGAGATAGAGAAGCTGATGCTGCCGCTGCTAACTGCTGACTGCTCTTGGAGGCCCGGGGCGAGCGCCTGAAGCGAGAGAAGGATTCGGGCGCAAAGTATCCCTCTGGCGGTGGATGTTGTCCCTCGAACGAAGTCTGACTCTCCACGTTTGATCGGCGCCGACCACGACCAGTCTGGTCGTCTGAGTAGAAGCGTGTATGTCCCGGTGCTGGATGCGAGGACACCGGACGAAGCCATTCCATTGTCTGCGCAACAGACGACTCGGGAGCACGTCCATGCGCCTGAGTCTTATTTTGCTGTTGCTGTTGAGAACGACCGAACCATGCCTAGTTGAGATATCAGCTGATACAGTCAACCAACGAATACGGGGCTGACTTACACCCAGCCTATCAAAAGCGCCGCGACGCGACCGGTCAGTTTTGGGCGAAGGCTCATCAGAGAACGAGGGACCCCGATTCCGTCTGAACAACCTAAACATCTCCGTGGGCGGTTTGCTCTGGGGAGATGCTTGGTTCCGTTGAGGCGATCCTCTTGCAGCCAGATCAGCGTCAAAGAGGTCATCCTGCGAGACCTGTGCGTTTGAACCCGTCCGCGGGCTGCTTGAGCCAGCGACAGAGCCGGATTCATAAGGAAAACCAGGGGTCTCAGACGAATGGCTGACGCCTCTGGAGTGAGTGAAAATTTCAGCCTCATCGCTGCTCAAGCGGCTCCTCCCAGCATACCAACGGCTGAGGCCAGGACTCGGAGTGGTAGCCGTGCCAGCAACACTAGGAACAGGCATCTGATTCGCGGGACCCAGCATGTTGCTGGGATTAAGATTTTCGGGTTGACCGACGCCAATAAGATTAAGACTAATCTCTGCTCTTGCACTTGGAGATTGGGACGGCCGTGCTGGGGATTTGGTCAGCTCGTATTCGGAGTAAGTGCTCATTGCGAGGTCATTATAAGGACATCTGGAATAAAGATATAAGAGGAAAAGCCAAACTCAAACTCACCCAGTCCCAGCCCGGATGATGGCTGCAGGCCCGAATACGCCTCCAATGTGCCCAGCGAGGAGATGGGGGGAGTGCTTATGCAATGAAGAGGAGGTGGAACAGAGAGCCTTGTACTAGTTGCAAGGTCGACCGGGGATGGCTCTAAGCCCCGCCAAACACGGCCTAGAAGATGAGCGCCCGCAGGTGGCGGTGCTTCTGCGTCTTCTGCATCACAAGGACTTACCTTTCCATCGTTGATCGCATTTTTATTGGTGATCTTGTCGCTGAGCCCAGAATAAAATGTAGCATTCTGGTATGGAGCCGTCAACAATTCACCTCGTTCCTGTGGCTTGGCGGTTGCTTGTGCAAGGCCAGCCTCTTTTCCACAGTTCGAATCCACACAATAGTATGTCGCTACGGTTGCATTGACAGGGAATCGGCGCTTATCGTCGCCTTTTAGAGGCTTTCGATCTATCTTTGTCATCGTCGACACTGTTTTTCTTCTCAAAATGCTGGGTAACGGAGCCTGTAAGGCAGAAGAGCTCGACAGCGCCGTGGAATGCGAGCTTACCATCATCTCACTGGGCAATGGCTTTCTAAGTATACGTCCCTGGGTATTCATTTGGCGATGTAAAAATGCTATATTGATATCATCAGCACTTCGTCGTCTACTCTCACTTGCCGCTGCCTGCTGTGGCTCTACATCCCAGCGCAGTTGCGTCGACTCGACCAGGTCTCCAGCCCTTCTGATGATGGGTAAACTCGCAAACTGCACAGCATTCCGCTTGAGAGTCATCGTCTCAGCCTCATTTTGGTCTATGGCAGATTGAAAGTCTGAAAGCTGGATTTCTCTGCGATAACCGCGCACCCGGTGGAATCCCTACTGATCAACACGCAATTAGAGGTGCCAGACAAATCATCGGTGATGCATTCGACAATAGTTAGGAAAGCATTAATCATGTCCATTCTGGCTTGGACTGCATATGTTCATTACACCATGGTATCAAACAATAGGATAAGCAAGACAGGACCGGAGAGAAAGAAGACGAATGCAGCGAGGGAGCATCATATATAGACCACAACCTCCGCTCTCACGTGCTAATAAATAAATGCAATGACCACCAAACCAAAAACCAAGAAATTAAGCATCTACCTTGTCTGTCTCTCCTCTTTTCAGCTTATTTCTGCCCTTGGCGAAGAAACCCTTGGCGGCCTCGCCTGCTCGGCCGCCCAGGGCTCCCGCCGTATGTAACAGGTCCTTTCCGCGTTGCTCGACCTGTTGTTTGTTCATTATCGAACCAAGCGGGGCAGATGGACGTCGTACGTGGCCCGATCCAGGCGGAGGGCCATCTTGGTTCGACGAGGTGAAGTGCCCAAGAGACGACAGCTTCGGGAATTTCCCCTTGGATACGACCGCTTTAGGCTCGACAGAGGGAGCCTTCATGCTCTGCTCAACAACATCCATGTGCTCCGGATGGGCACGAATCACCACCTGTAACCAATTCTTCAAACCAGTATCGATTGTCGTGAACTGGTCGCGTGTCCGGTCAAAAGCTCGCACTCGCTCATCGGAAGATTGAATACCCATAATGTCACGGAAGCCCAATAACGTCGGCTCAACCGTGGGCGGCATCTTGGGCTCAGGCAAGGGGGATCGCTGCTCCATACTTTGACGATTGATAACTTCGGGCAGGTAGCTTTCATTCGAGTCGCTGCTATTTTCCATGGCAGCAGGAGTCACTAGGGTGAGTTTAGGCTTCTCAGGCGTCTGCTGGAGGTCTCTATTTGTTGCCATCTCCGTCTCGTTGGGGACAGTCTCTGGCGCTAGCTCGGTCGTATCGTTTGCCAAAGGGAATTGTCCTGGAATTGGGATAGCCGACGGCGAGGCCGCCTGAAATTCCACGGGAGGTACCTCCTCCGAGGATGACGATTCCCACGAGAACCGTCGTTTCAACTTAGGTTCTGAAGTAGGCTGAGCAGGAGCAGCTGGTGCCGGATCGCTCATAGGCGAAGTGGAGTACAGATCCTGCTGCGGAACATTCTGAGAAGCACCGTAGACAGGGGCTGGCGGCTTTAAATCCTGAGGGCTTGATTCGACTTGCTCGCTCCAATATCTTTCGTATTCACTGGGGATCAGACTGTCTTGTTGACTGATCTCTGTGTCTTGTCGAGCAGTCTGTGGTCTGATAGGATTTTGCTGCTCTGTTTCCGCTGAAGGCGTGGTTTCTCGGCTCAAGGAGCGAATTATCTCCTTTCTCAACCGATCACTCTCGGTGTCCTGAGGCGAAGTTTCTGCGCTGTTCGAAGGGATGATAACTGGAATCTCTTCATGGCTTTTGATGGGGGAATCGGCAGGCGGGTTTGCGCCAAAGTTGAGGGGCGCTGGTAGATCCCTGTCGGAACCAGTCTGAGGCAGTAGCACAGAGGCTCTATGTGGCAGTGGCTGGTGGAACGAAGAGGAGCTGTCTCGAGGGGAGTCTGAAGGCGTCTCCGACGACATCTCTGCCAGCACAGACGGAGGAGTTGCCTCGGCGCTGTTATTGATAATCGGTTTCCTCGAAGGGCTGTTACCTGGGCTGGGAAGGCTAAGATCTCGACGATGACCAGGCTTAAATAACATGGCCTGGTCGTTGGTGTCTTTCGGTGTTGAGATTTCACCGGGCTCCTCCACGATTGTTGGCGTCTTTTCTTCGTTCGGACCGCGAGCACCAATGATGGGACTGATGACCGACGTGCTGTCACTATTGGATCGTGCAACGCTGTCGACAGTGGTGCTTGGAGTGTCGGGAACGTCGAATGCTTGGTGTACAACTGAACGGAACCCCAGCGACGGGTTGTGCTGCAGCTGATGGGTTTGTTGAGGGTCGGAGCTCTGCTCTTTCTGCACGCTCGAATCGGAAGCCAAAAAGTCAGCGTCGAAGCCAGAAAGTCGCTTAAAATCGGGAAGCTCAAGGCTTGCGGCACCAGGCGCGGTTCTTGGAGTGGCACTTGAGTCGTCGACCTTGCCGTGACAGCCATCCTTCGACGCATTGGATCCCGGCCCCAGTTGAAGTTCGTGGTCCGCGGTGGCAGGCAGCTGAGACGTAGAGACAGGCTCTGGATGGGAACGGCCCAGACCGGAGGGACTGTCATTCCGAGGGGTGTCTGGCGACTGCTGGCGTCTCTCTTGCATGCGTTTGTAGATGTCGGCAGGGCGCACGAAAGGCAGAGGCTTGTTCGAGGGAGCACTGCCCGCAGTGCCCTCGACAGCATTGCGGTCTGCCGACCGACTGCGACTTTCAGCAGGTCCTACACCGAGCGTTGCCACCTGATCCATTGAACGTGATCGGTCCATGCTGGGTAGCGGGGGCCTCGACGGATCCCGAGGAGCTATTCTAGACAGGTCGTTGGTGCTCTGGCTGAAGTTTGCCGGCTGGGGCATCGGTAGCGGCTCATCGTCGTATTCCTCGTACTCATCGTCACCCCAGTCATTCCCGTCGTACGAATATTTCTTCGCCTCCACCCAACGCTTGGTCTTTGCGCGGTTAACATTCGTTTTGAACGAAATTGGAGTTTCGCCGCGGGCTTGTGGTGCCACTGGAGTATTTGTGCTGGGAGATGTACTGTACGTCCCAGACAGCATCTGTCAGCAGAGCCCAATATACGCCGTCCTAAGCGAACTTACAGCGTCTCATACTCCGGTTCGTAGGGAACTTGAAATGGACGAGCCATTGCTACACGCACGAGAGGGAAATGGACAGTTTGGCAGCATCAACAAACTAAGACTAAAGTCTGCGCGAATAGCAAATCAACATAGAAGGCTCATCTGACGGGATGTCCAGTTGATGGAGGATTATTTTCGTCGAGATCAAGACAGGTCGTGCTGGACCGTGGACCGAGTTCGACGGAGCCTAGAGAGGGAATGCGGTACGTTTCACAGGATGACGTGGGGACGATCCAATTGCGATAGCACCTGATGCTCAGCCTCGGCGACGTGTCAATGTTGGGTAGGGGGTATATCAAAGGCAGCGAGTTGAGAAAGCCAATATGCTGATCAGCTTCCTGAGGATTTGAGTCTCTCCCTCAGCGACAGTCGATGATTGTTGTTTTTTTCCCTCTGCCGGTCATGATGGAGAGGTACCCCTGGTACTTAAAATAAATTGCGGCCTGATGCGGCCTGGGGAACAAAAGTGTGGCTATGATGGCTGTGCAAGTGGCACCCCTGTCACGTGGAGAAGTGCCACACCTTTCCCCATCCGGAATGACACGAATCCGCCCCCATAGAGAGAGACAGAAGACGGGCGTCTTTCTTGGCCAGATCAATACTCCTGTTCATGAACTCTTGAACTTTGACGATATGGAACTCCCTAGACTTTCCTAATTCACTACTAACCCCGATTTCACTCGATGCTTACTTCTTTACTCCCCCTATTTGACTATCGCCGGATACGCCCCAACCATTGCCTTCTCCTTATCGATTAGCTCAACATCTACTCCGTACATTCTAGCCTATTCCTCAATTTCAAGCGGCCTCGAAACATATATTCTAGCGGCCACTACGAACGTGGGATCTTGAAAATGGCCGGCCCCTCCATCCAGGATCGCACGGGCGAATTTCAGGCCATCCTCGGACAGGCCCAGAAACGCCTCGCGACTTCCAAAGTCGGCTCACAACGTCAAGCACTGCTTTCGGATTCGCAACGGAGACAGGCGCACGCAGGCACAGACGAACAAGGACAAAGCAAACGCCGGTCGGAGTTTGCTAGGAGAGCCGCGGAGATTGGGCGAGGAATTACAGCGACAACCGCGAAGTTACAACGGCTGGCTGAGTGTGAGTAGTTGGTTGCTCCTCAGGTTCTCTTTATCTTGCTGATCTCATCGTAGTGGCGAAGCGCAAGACGCTCTTCGATGACAGACCTGTCGAGATCTCGGAGTTGACCTACGTCATCAAGCAAGACCTGGCGTCGCTGAACCAGCAAATTGCTTCTCTGCAAGCGCTTACATTATCGCAACATCCGAAGTCGAATCGAACAAAAGCGGATCAGGAAGGCGAGCACAATGACAATGTAAGTGGACTCCAAGTGGCCGACTTGCGCAACGCTAATGTCACCCAGGTCGTGGTTATGCTCCAAGGAAAGCTGGCGGATGTCGGTGCGAACTTCAAAGAAGTCCTCGAGGTCCGAACGAAGAACATTCAAGCGTCGCGATCTCGGACAGAGAACTTTGTCTCTTCGGTATCGTCCAAGTCGCAGGTCTTGGATCCGCAACGGTCGGACTCTCCACTGTACAACACCACGGGACGGAAGACGCCGCAACCAGGTTTCCAGGGAGGTTCTTCAGATCTATTGACGCTCGATCCCTCAAATCCTTCGCCTCTTGGGCGCCCATCGTTCCAGACAGATCAGCAATTACTGGTCATGGAGGAGGCGCAGACGAACAACACGTACATTCAGGCCAGAGGCGAAGCCATTGACGCCATCGAACGTACCATCAATGAACTCGGCGGGATCTTCGGCCAACTGGCTCAGATGGTCAGTGAGCAGTCAGAGATGATTCAACGGATTGACGCCAATACCGAAGACGTGGTGGACAATGTTGAAGGCGCCCAGCGCGAGTTAATGAAGTACTGGAATCGCGTATCCGGTAACCGATGGTTGATCGCCAAGATGTTTGGTGTCCTTATGGTGCGTTTCTCTCTTCTCGATGCCATTGCAGGAGCTGACTGGACAATTGCAGATTTTCTTCCTTCTCTGGGTTTTGATAGCCGGATAGATATACCCCTTATTTTCTTCCTAATGTATTATTATGGGCTCTGGCTCTTGCTTGACACATGGTACCCGCCCTCGGACGCATGTTGCATATCTTTCTTCACTTGGACATGGAGCTATTTCTATTTACGAGTGACCTTGATAGACTTTCCTATGATCGCTTATTATGGGCCGATGTCAATATTATGTTGCTGGTTTGAAAATACTGTCGATAGCGCACGTCGACATGTATGTATAATCCTCCATTGCTGCATAATACACGGCGGTCTTTTGTCGGTAGAAGGATTTGTGGCAGCACTACTCAATTCTAGATCTCAATACTGGTCATCACAGAATTCACAATGTAACCTGATACACGACCCATGGAGAATGTGAACTGGATCCTCACAGCGATGCGGAATTACACCACGTCGATACATCTCCTTCTCAGCTGCCTCAAACCATACCTGTCTTAGACCCGGAGGAGCAACGAGCTCTTGCTCGTCAGCGGCCATTCGGTCACCATCCACAGACGCCAGGTACTCATTCCAGTCCTTTCGCATCCGCAGCAGGAACTCCCTCCGTTTCGTCCAGGTGGATGATACATTTCTGGTATAGGTGTGATGTGTGCGCGTGTGAGTATGGCTCTGTGTGTTCCTGGCGTGCGCGTGCTGCGCTTCTGCGGACTGGTCGTCCGCTGCGGCAATGAAAAAGTCTAGGATCCTTTCGAGCGTGGATGTCGTGAGAAGAACACTAAGCCAGCTTCCGGTTGAGGACGGTGGGAACTCGGGGTTCATCATGTGGCGAACAGAAGAGCAGAGGAGATGCATGCAGTGGTGGGTTGAGAGGAGGACCTCGTTCGTTGTGAATGGAGGCCGTTGGAGAATGGACTGTTGCTCTTCGAGCGAATGGAGCTGATGATGGGGTTTCCCTGTTTCCCTTGCTGCGTCTCGGGCATCTGCGTAGGTTTCGAGGAAGAATGCGAGGTATGCCCTGGAAAATGTTAAAAGCTGTGTAAAGGCTGGCATGGGCTCAATTGGGTCGACGTACAATGGATACAATAACCGAGATTGAAGCATGTCCACACCTCGGCTGTAAATAACTTCCTTTTCGGTCTTTGAGGACGACCAAAGAGGCTGAGCGTCAGAATCATGCTGCAGATGATGGTGTACTGCGTAATCGGCTAGATAGTATGACAATCTGAGGCAAGTCACCCAGCAGCGGCTTAGGTCGGCTAGGTAGCCGAAGGAATATTGAGGGAATTCATCGTGCGACCTGCTAGCAGTGTACTGCGGTGGTTGGGGTGGGAAAAGCTCAGATATAAATGTCAGGTCGTCTCCTGGAGAGCAGTCGCTGCTTTGCAGACATTGGCGCTTTCGATGCTGGAGATACTCGCGAGATATCGCATACTCGTCTTGGTGGATTCGGCGATACAGCACCCGACAGGACAACATCAAAGAATAGATATCTGTCAGTGTGCAGCGTACCAATATCTGAGTAAGGACATTGACTGGTATTTCCTCCCAGATTGAATTCTTCCGATTGAGGGAGTTGCTAAGAAACCGTTATCAGCTATATGCACTCTAGCTGCTCCATGACCGAACATACACAGTTGATCTTCTTCTTGCCGAGCGGGAATGTCTGCTTTGCTGTAAAGCATGTCGAATGCGATCTAGAACAGGGTGGCTCATGTTCGCTTCAGTCCATTGAAAGGCCTCGCCGACTTTCTCCGTCGTTTGTCGTTGGGGGATGTTGCAGTTTGGGGATTTTTTTGAGACCAACCAGCTGTACTTCAAACCAACCGAAGGCTAGGTCCCAACGCAGCTGAATGAGAAAATAATGAAACAATTGCGCATCGCCGTGGGTCTGGCCCCAAATCAGGTTTATGTCTTGGCTAATCTTGTGAACCGTGTAGTCCCACTGACCCGCTGTCAGATCATACTCAAATAGTCAACTCGGTGGATCAACTAATAAGGCTGAAATAGTCCGTTGCCACTGTTATGTCTGACCGTAATGGTGATAGCAACTCATGGACGGGAAAATATCAATGAATCCGTACTCTTATTGCAGTCCTTCTGACGACTCTCCAGGGCTCGGCAGACTGCTCGCCCTTGACTCAATTGAGGATATTACGGCCAGATCGTAACTGTGCAAGATGCTTGTGAAAAGGAAAATGCGCTTCCGAGAGTTGAGAAGGGTATGCGAACGATCGGTAGGGTTCATCATAGCTGGTCATCCATTTCCTGGTGGTATTGTGCGAGCAAACCATCCCAGGGGCCCCATATCAAGGAGATGGAGCAGTGCAGCCCATGTTTGGAGCAGGCAGAATAAGGCTCTTGCCTATGCATCAGTGTGGTTGCAAGTTCTCCCGCAAAGGGCTGTTGCTGTGTGCTGCTCTCCGCTATAGCTGACGATGTCCGGGGTAGTCCACGCCATTCTTTTTGGTTGATTGCCATACTATAATCGAAGTTTTCAAGGAATTGTAACGAGATCGTTAACTGTCTGTTGATGTCAAAAGGAAGGGAAAGATAACAGGGCTTTGAGCGGAGAAGGAGAAGCAAGAGAGCATGTTGAAAAATGCTACCTGTTTCGGATACATAATTCTACTACTTTACAACCAACCTTTGAAATCATGCAAGATGACATCCATCTTCTGATCCAACAGTTCTATGCCTCCAACCAAATCATATCTTTCGAAGGTCCAATCTTCATGCTCCAAGTTTCAATCACTGTCACTCCCAAAGTCTCCAAAGTCAATATGTAGGTCCATCGGCGAAAGACCCCTGATCTCTTCTACACCAGCTCTGAGGGCATCCATCACGACACTAACCCAATGTGCTGCTGAATTCTTTGCCGCTAACGGGTCATCGCGAACCTCGGTCTCGCTGAAGTATTCAATGTCCGTGGCGTACCTAACGTTGTCAGCTATGTGTCGAGCACATCGTATCAAGAGGAACGGCATACACTCTCCTCGTCTCCAGATCAAACTTGAGAAACGAAACGCCGACATAATCAAAACCGTGCCTGTTGAATTTACTGTCATATGAATATGTCAGACTGGCTCAACCAACCTGCAAGACCGAGCGACTTACACAGCCATATCAAGCATCTGTTTCTCGACGCGGGGAAGCTCATCAGCATTCAGGAATTGGGGCGCGTCAGCCAGACTGAAGGCCGGGTAATATCCTAGAACTAGAATCCAAAGGTATCCGCCGGGATTCTCAAAGGTGAGGTCCTGATGCAACTCCCTTCTGCCGTAGTACTTGGGTGTATAGCCCGTGTCTGACAAGGTTCTCCAGATCTTGCATTCGTTACGGAAAAGCTCAGTCGCATTGTTTTTCATAGATCGCTTGCCACTCTGTTCCTCTCTCATGAATGGATCTGCCCTATTGTCGAAGAGGTTAGAGAGCGGGACATGCATGAGACGGGAGGGAGACATACTCGACGAAGAACTTGACGACGACAGGATCCTTAGTCTCGCATTCCTCTGCTTCGAACGTAGCCCTTCGCTGGTGGTAATTGTTATTATAACGCTCCCAGAGGATTTTCTTCAAGCGATAGGCACGTCCCGCGACTGGGAAAGTGGCCTTTTCGAACTTTCTCATCACGCTCCCAGCAGGGAAGTCCTTATTGACGCCTTCACACTGGCACTCACCCTCCATTTTGAGGCTGACAATGTGAACTGAGCTGGGGAGGAAGCATGAGAGAAATCTGAAGCGTGATATGAGCTTTATACTACTCATGTGCAAACAATGCATGAGTGAATGGGATAGAAAGTAGCGCTGTCCTAAGCGAGACGCGTATTCTATCTCTAGGTATAGCGTTGAACGCGTTGGAAAGCACTTGGTGAATCATTCATGTTTGTATATCTCTTAGAGGCTAGGTATTTCGCCTCTTCTACCGCCCCAGGTTTCAATATCAGACATTGAAGCACCGTCTAAACGTATATCCATACAAAGTGCGATAACACATCAACAGTTTGAAACGCAGGCGCTCAATGTAACCCAATGATGATGTCTCCATCTAGCTGAGCATCCAAGTCCAGTTTCACCTTGGCATGGAGATTCAAATGAATCTTGATGTTGATACTCTCCCTCTTGCCATTGTCCCGTTTCGTTGTTGGTTCAGCGGCAGGTTCGCTAACAGTTGATTTGACCACCACGGTCTTCTCTGTGGTTTCTTGCATTGGCTCGTCTTGGATCTCTGCCGGGGTACTTGGTCTCATTAGCTCATAGAACTGATATTGACCTGACATGAATACTTACCTCGGAGCATCCTCCCATTTTCGATCGGCCATTTCGTGTTTTGACAGTGAAATTATGGAAGTATACAGCTGCAGAAATGACGAACAGCAACAAGCTAAGATAAGATAAAAAAATGAAGGAACAACCAGATTCTCTCTCTATATCATCTGGGGGTTATGTTGCATCTTGTGATGTGGAGATACCTTCATTTCCGTTTCCGTCGATGAGCGGCCAAGTGTACCTGACCGAACCACAACCACCACGACAACGGCATTGTCCTGTCAATTAATCATCGTCACCACAAGTTAACTTTATTATTTACCTCCATGAGCTGGCGGGAGCTGCCTATGGCCATACAACTAACGAAGTCAGCCCAACGACACCAGTTCACAGTCACCACAAATCTAGATCATGGTACTCGGCCTCGCCTTAATGGGCGCCATGGCCCCAGCAATGATAAACATGGACCAAGGCTCCAAGGACCCTGAAGCCAGACGCCAACACGCGAAGAGACAACGAGGCCATCTCCTCACAGAATGTTACACAAACGAAGAAACGGCGGAACAGCGAGACCAAGTGCACAATGGACGGGTATATCTCGACGAAGATGGAAAGGTACGCCCACACAATCCTCGCTTTGGACTACTGCTAATCTAAATAGTTGTACGTAACCAAGCACGCGACCCCAACAATGACTCCCTTCGACGGTCACTTCTATACGCACCCCGACTTCCCGCCAGATAATAAATCCGGACTGATTACGTTAAGCGGGGAGACGCCGCCTCTCGCTCGTTGGGTGTTTCTAGATGCCGAGACGAATGAGATGCGCTTTGGAGGGAAAGGGGATACACAGGGCCATATCTGTGGGCCGTTTGATCTACTCGATGTCGAGAGTGGATACGTTACGCTGGAACGACGGCAAAGATGGCTGGCTGTGAAGTTGCCGGAACAGCAAGCCCGAGAGAAGGAGGCATTGGAGCTGGGGATTGCTGGGTCTGAAGGTGGAGTAGGAGGGTCGTGGACGTTGTACTTTGATCGGGACGAGTATGTGCTGCCGGAGGGGACGCAGTGGGTGAAGCTTCGTTTAATGCATGTTCCAGCGGGGAGGTAGTGGAAACTGTATTCGAGAGAATTGGTTGTACTAGTAGTATGTCATGTAAATTGTTCTATCAGACGAAAAACTGGGTTGTCGGGCTGTAAGAACATGCAATGTTAATGGTAATGTTGCATTCCGCATTCGGCAAGACATGTTGCCTGAGGCTACGGTCTCGAATTAACAAAGAATACATGCAGAACACCACCGGAAAAACAGCCAAGATTAAAAAAAGTCAATCATTATCATCACTCATAGCTATTAAGCTCACAGTTTACCGCGTCGGAATGAAGTGCTTGGATTGCTCCTCCTGCTCGCTGAATGACTCCGGAAACGCCGCGATGGCAGCCACAATGCCAATAGCCATGAACGCCAGCGAAATAATGGACCAGATGACGCCCCAGCAGCGGGAAGAGCCACCATATCTCTGCGCGAAGACACTTGCATCGGAAGAATTGACTTTGCGGAGAATGAGATCGTCACACTGTTCACATTAGCATGACCTTTTCAAGAACAAACGAAGGACGTACAATATCCCAGACGCTGTAAAGCGCTGACATGACTCCGATAAATAGCTACTGACTGTTAGCAATAGGCCAACAAAAATAAAGGTAGGGGAAAAACATACCACAACCCACCGCAAGGCCTCCCCATGAACGATAAACCAACACGCGACCAGTAACCCGACGGCCATCAGAATCGTCAAGATAGTCAACCAGTCCCTCCGTGCCCACCATAGCGTAAGGAGAAAGCAAACCCCCAGAATAATACTCGCCACCTTGCTTGCGACAATGTCAAACCCAGCAAAGATCAGCAGAGCGCCGATGATGGACGAGCCTAGGTATCCTGCAGGCAGGGTGATAGCGCTGATACCGCCCTGCATGTGCGTGACGCCACCCTCGTGGGGGTCAAGCGATATGGACTTTACTCTGCCTCCTGTGCAGCATGCAGTGATGGCATGGCCGAATTCATGGAAGGCGATGACCAGCATCTGTTGTCATTAGTAACCAGCAGACGGTAAATGGAAGTAGTAGTTGGTACCTTGAAAGGCCATAATGACCAGCGGACGTAGGGTAAGTTCCAGAGCAGTGCGATGACAACCACGTACGCTCCCATAACGCCCAAGGTTACTGCTTGAGTGTGGTTGACTGAGAGATCTCGCTTGAGGAAATGAGGCTGTGAAGCCTGCTCCTCGAGTACGCTTCTGGCCAGGGCTGCATACGGTGCCATTTTGATTTGTCTATGTCTGAGGATGATTGGAAAATCGAAGTGAAGGTGTAAGTTTACAAGGTAGCAAAATGAAGCTTTTATTTCTTCCTCGTGATCATAGTAATGCCTGACTGCTTGGCGTCTACGCGTCCAATTGCAAATCCCTGCGCCGCAGTAAACACTTGTCTTATTCAGGCTAGCGTGTGGCTGATATAAGCCTATTTTTAGTATTTGGCTTGTGGATACTCGTGGCTGACCAATTATCTTGCCTTTCATTCCAAACTGATTAATGATTGGCCAGAAGCAAGTATAGATGTGCCTTTTTTCAGATCAACTTTCATTCTGAAGAATTTTTTCTACGGTCTGCATACGCTGTACTTTAAGGCATTACTCAATAAGCTTGCTTAATACCTCCTACTATTTGAGCGTCACTGATGCCTTTTATGATATTAGCAACAGATTTGAGGTTGAATTTGAGTCATCGCTCCACTGCCGGGCCCAACGCTAACACCGCCACCATGGCTTTTCTTCAGTGGAGATCTTCGCAGAGTACGCTAGTATTATTATGAATATGATAGCATGAGAGTAAGACGCCATGGAATGTAGTGAAACCAACGCTTAGACAGTCGACCGTGTACGAAGTCTACCTAGTAGTCCATAACCGAGAACAGAAACGAGTCTTATTGCACTCTGCAGGATGGCTATCGATACAAGAATACAACCAAGATATGAGCTTCGCTCCCAAACCTACAGCTTCTCGAACCTCCCATGCCTCCCCTCCCCATCCCTAAACCTCGCCGCCCCCCTCACACTCTCCGTTGCTAACACCTTCGAACCCATCTCAAACTCCCTCCGCAGCGCATCCTCCATCGACGTCGCCCTATACGCACTGTAATAGCAACTCCCCCGATCAACATTCATACACCGCTCAGGAAACCGCATCAACTCCCTCGCCAACACCATCGCCTCCTCCACCGCCCTCCCCTTCGCAACAACCCGACTCGCCAACCCCATCTCCAGCGCCTCGCGCGCACCGACCCCCCGCCCCGTAAGAATCAGATCCAGCGCCCTTCCCAACCCCACAATCGCCTGCAGGCGCACCGTCCCGCCGTCGATAAGCGGGACGCCCCACCGCCGACAGAAAACACCGAGGATGGCGTCCTCCTCGACGATGCGCAGATCAGCGAGCAGCGCGAGCTCCAGCCCGCCTGCGACGGCGTGTCCGGCTATCGCTGCGATGAGGGGCTTGGATGTGTGCAGACGGGAAGGACCCATTGGTCCGAGGGATGGGACGGGTTCATCCTTGTTAGACGGGACAGGGACAGGCTGGAGGTTCTCCTGCGTTGTCAGTGCGGATGGGGAGGTTCCTGCTGCTGCGACAGCGTGGAGATCTGCGCCGGCGCAGAAAGTCCCGCCTGCGCCGGTGAGGATGCAGATTTTCTGGGCGGGGTCGGCGTCGAAGGCTCGGATGGCGTTGTAGAGGGCTTTTGCGGTTAGGGGGTCGACGGCGTTGCGGCGGTGGGGGCGGTTGATGGTGATGGTGGTGATGCCATCTTGGGTAGCGGTGAGGATTGATTGTGTCATTTTATATACTGTAGATGGTTTGAATTATTTGTTTGTCGTCTTGTCTTGAGTGGGAGGTCATTTATGGTGAATACGAGCCTCGGTTAAGGTGCCTGTGTTGGACCGAGGTGTTGACAGTATCCTGTGCTGCAATGCAAGAACCCAACGTGTATAAGCTGTTACGATCGCGACCATTAAGGCTTGCGCTGCGAAGCGGTATGCTTATTCGACTGAAAAGCTTCAGTTCCCAATAAGATGCTGGGTGGCCTAACACCTTAGACGTACCTAGATATCATACTTTGTATGGTAGACAAGGTACTTAGGAGTCACGTTTCAGCGCTGAGAATATGAGGGAGTGCAAGGTTGGAAGGGGGAACTTAATATTTCCCGGGGAGGAACGGGAAAGACATCACTTTCGCTGTGAATTGAAAATATAGAGTACTATAAACATATAGTTAATATTATATATAGGTAGCCTGGGGCCTCTCCCCTAGCATCCATCAGGCTATATTGAGGGCTAGACTAAGATGATAATTGTACTGATACTTACAAAGTATCTACCCCTCTACTCCTTACTAGATGCAATTAGTACGGTATGTCACTGCAGTTTTCGAGTCAATCAGAAAGCCGGAAATGTAGTGATTTGGACCAACCAGATTGAACGCCAAGACAGAAGAGACAAGGAGACGCCTGCATGCTAAGTTGAAGAAACGCTTCGCTCCACAATGAATCCATCCCAAAAGTCACAGGTAGTCATAAAGTCGTTTGCAAAAGAGGAAATGAAAACAGATTAAACCTCCCCCTTCTTTTGCCTCCTGCTTCCCTCAGCTTTCCATACAAACCAAGCAACTATGATTCCCGACTTCAACACCATCGCCAACCACAGACTCGAAGCCATTCCCGTCACCTTGCTCAGACCCCCCGACGTCATGGCGCCCAGGAAGAGCGCCAGGAACGCGCCGACTCGGCGGTTCCGCCGCGGGTTCGATCTCCACCCGCGCGACAACAACTCCTTGTCGACGAGTAAGTCGCACAGGAGCGTCGTCAGCACCACGGTCGGGATCTCGTCGAAGGCCAGGATCCGTGACGCCACGATCTGACCCGCGGCCTGGAATGCAAGTAACGAGATGGGGAGGATCTGCATCCATTGGATAGGGGCGCGGGGGTCCTCGGGACGCCGGCTGACGGTGCCAGTTTGGACGAGAATGGCGGCGGCCAGGAGGGCCAGGGTCTGCGCACCGAAGGAAAGGATGAGGGTCGAGCGGCGGCGGGGGCCCAGCAGACGTGAGAAGTAGATGTAAACGATCATGGAGAGGATGAAGACGGCAACGGCGACGAGGGACTTGGCCCAGAGGTAGGCTGGGTAAACTGGTTGGCCGCTGGCGCCCAGGGCGATGAAGACGGTGTTTCCTTCACACTGTGTCAGTGACTGATTGCATTCAAAAGAGCTTGGTCACGGACCGGTTTGCATGCTGGCAAAGCTGCCCCAGGCGTTGAAGGAAAGGCCATCGACGAGGCCGCTCACGAAGCCGCAGACAATGAGGAGCAAATCCGTGTATTTGGTATTGATGTCCGCAGCAAAGTGCCGGATGACGGTGGAGCGAAAATCCTCCGAGTCGGAGACTTCATCGGCGGGCTGAAGCGAGACATCAGTACTGTGCCTGGCAGACCAAAGACCGCGCTGGTCATTGGAGTCGTCCGGTTTGGGTGGAATGGTAAAGTCCATGCTCTATGGATCTATGAGGACACTTGTGAGGACGCTTGCCCAAGCTGCTAACCTATTTATTGGCCCCAGAAATCTTTATTGATCGTCATTACGCAGGATTCAGGAAATCCTCGCCCTTTTATGAATCCCCGGACTGAGGAGCGAGTCAAACGGGCTGAAACATCCCACCAGCCAAGATTGGGTTGAGAAGATGTGGGATGCTGAGCACCAAGGACGATCCTTTCTTGTCATATCAGGAATATCTGTATATCCTCATCAGAACATGGCTGAGCCACCATCTGCCTCGTGGCTCGGAACAGCACACCACGAATGGGGCCAGCAGGTGGGTTACACTGCTGGCCGCCGAAGAGCAGAGAATCTGATGCCTAGAATCGAAATCGTCCCCGATCTGCCGTATCAGGTATCCCGAACAAAGACTCAATATGACCAATCTCGTTCAATGTACAGTTTCCGCGCTAATCACTTCAGACGCATCGCAAGCATTCCTCTTGGCGCTGCTTGGCACGATAACACCGCAGTGAGGATTCTCGCCCAGATTGTTGGAATCAACCAAGGTTTCGGGTCTCCTTGAGCCTTGGATTCTCGCCGTGGGGACTGCCAAGCAGCAAGTTCAGGCATCCCCTCGTTTCCATTGACTCCAAACAGCGCCTGATGGATGATCTGGGGCTGGATGCTGATTGCTGACAGTGTTGGCCTTGGCTGCTCACTCGATACCTGGAGGGCGGACCATGGAAGATTCAATCACACCCAAAATCTTTTCCAGATGTCTGTTCAGGAAACTATCACGGACTTAGCAATGACGAAAGGAGAAAAGTTAGATAGGTAGGCCTTACGGGAGCCAAACTACTTCGAGAATCCTGACATTCTGCCCAGACTGGTCCATCCCGCGCATGCAGAGTTCAGATACGCTCTAGCCCAGTGCCAAGGGAAGATCGCCATAAGATAGGCAGCCAAATTCATATAGTTGTTTTAAAAAGTCTTGTCTGGGATGTAGTGTGAACTGTAAATCTGCAATGCACTGTATGCACAGCCTCCGCCAGTATTCTGCTTTTGCTGAATACGAAAAAGATCGACCTGCCTGGTAAAAGGAGGATCTTGGGGCGTTTGCAGCCAAGAAGACAGGTGGGTAAACTCGCTGTAACTTGCCAAGTTGAGTCAATTCTTTACTTATTCTGGTGACTGTTTGCTCTGACTGAGCCTCAATTCATGTATCTCTGATTGGACGCTGTGAATGTTATCTCTTGCTACGTCAGAATTCAGACTAGCTTGCATGATAAGAAGAGTCGCCGTCGTCTTTGGCTCTTGAATCTTGAGGGTTAACGGCTGAACCTTGGCGCGCTGCCACCCGAGCAGCAATCCGATATTCGGACATTTGGATAGAGACTGTCAATTGATGTCATTCCTTTCTTTAGACTGCGTTGCGAGCAGGTATACTCCATCTTCTTCGACTTGGCGGACATTCAACACTTCGTTATGCTTTGCCAAGTGTGCCATTGAAAGGTCCCAGACTAGGCATAGGGGCTCAACTCCCGTCGGACATCCTGGTATTGCCTAAAATGCCTAAAATGGCCATATCCAGAGTGCACGTCTTCTACTCTTCTAGTTCTCTGCTGTTCGTTCTGGAAACTACTGGAAGAAGCTAGATGTCAGGAGTCTGCTAGATTGAGTATTGTGGGAGGATCTCTGAAGCTATTTGGAACATTGCTCAGTATTGACATAGCGATCTATACGCCAGTACCCCACGTCCCCGCTACCGCTCGATATATAGTGTTATCTAAGAGCATCAATATCTTACTGGACGGGCCAGCGGGAAACGACAATATATATCCGCTTTGGTCACCGACTTCCAATGAAGATCTTGGCGCTGCAAAGGGTGTCTATTAGTGCTACCTTCAGTTTCACATTTGCGGGGCGAGCCCTGTCTATTCATGATTGTGGTTGAGTCCAGATTCTGCTTGCCTAAGCGGCTTTCGTACAGCATGAATGACCGATCAACTGCATTGCTGCCACGTGTTGATGCTAGTGGTATAAACAGCATGCCATAGGACGCACATATAATAGACTGCTCATTAAAAATTCGGCTGAACGGTAACAGTCGTCTGCGAGGGATGTCTGTCAGCGCCGTGTGATCGTAGTGTGTACTACCTGCGTAAACAGCCGCGGATGTTGAGGACAGGTGGCCATCATCCGGTATTACACTTGCAGTGCACCCTGGCATGATTGATCAAAAGCTAATGGCCACGAATTCCCAAACTCGACGTAGACATCCGTGCAGGCGAGCCACACGACATCGCATGTAGTCGGCTTATTGTTCGGATTCGCTCAGCTCAGGCGAGTGATATCCCCGGCTAGCCTTCCTCAACTCCCTCTCCAGGGCCTCAGTTAGCGCCTCCAGCAACCATTGCACCTCCGTCTTCTGTCCCAGCAACGGACTCTTGTAACCTGTCCAATCCCATTTCGATTTCCCTTCCTCTCCATCTGTTTCACCTCCTTCGGTGGCTATGAGATTAAGGAAATACTCCCACTCTTGGTAATCGAACTTCTTGTGCAAATTGCGCGTGGTGTAGTCCATCATCCTCCGTACTTCCCGGAATAACAAGTAGTGGTGGTGATGTATTGTTTCCGCAGTGACATCTCCCCGTGCCCGAGCCGATTCTTCTTTCTTGTGCTCGTCTGCCTCGATCGCGTTGCGCTCCTCCTCTTCTCCCTKGTCAACTTGATCCGCGTTCTCGGCTGCTGTGGCGGCAGCGGTGGCAGCAGCCTCCTCAACGTCCTCCTCGTCAGGCTTCTTGTCCGCGACAGCCTCGGCAAGGAATCTCTCCTTCCATGAAAGGCGGGACAGATCTCTGATCAATTCCCGGATCGGTTTATCCCCAGGCAGAATGGTCAGCTCGCCGAGGTAGATCGTGAAATCGCGGATCGTCCGCACCACCGTGTCACCAACGTTGGCAATGAGCAACGTCACCGTCGGAACAGCGAGCAACGTCCAAAAGACGAAGAATGACCGTTCCCATTCGGAAGTCGCGCGAAAGTCCCCATAACCGATAGTAAACAAAGTGGTGTAGGCAAAATACAGCGCCTCAAAATACGTCAACTTTTCATTTTGTCCAGGGAGCCAAAACGCGATCGCCCCCAGAAACCAGAGCATCGTCCACACGGTCAACGACGTGGCGAGCGAGATCCATTTCCGCTCTAGCGTGGCAATCTGCCGTACACGTCGCATGAACTGGAACTCACGCCGTTGTCGGTCACGGTCACTCTCATCCGTTTCCGGCTGCAAGCGTGGGACCACATCCAGCAGGTGTTGATGGTCAGATACTGCTTCGCGTACGAGGAACCGGCGTGTCCTTTCTGTCACAGTTTCCGCCATCTTCTGCCGTCCCTTCTCGAGCATCTGCGCGCGGATGGAGCCCACGATCAATCCCAAAATCAGAATACCTCCGACGGCATAAGGAAACAAAAGCCCCCGTCCTTTACGCGTCTTGGGTGCAAAGTCACCGATACCAATAGTCAAGAGGGTAAAATCCGCCCAATATACAGCATCGAGATACCTCCAGTCTTCGATCCTTGCGTACACGGCGGCTCCGCCGAGGAGGTAGATGAGAAACAGAATGGTTTGCAACATCAGACTCCGCTGGCTGGCCGTCAGTCGAAATTCGCGGCTGTAGTGGCCCCGGTAGGCCCCGTAGACGGTAATCAGGAGAAGGGAGGAGAGCACAAAGTATAGCCCTGCTGCAAAAGCTCCATAATAGTAGGACCCAGTGAGCCACCGACGCGTACCGCTATCCGAGCTGGATTGTACTTTCGATGCTGCAAAGATACACAGCAGGCAGGTCAAGAGCAGGGATGAGATATACCAGCCAATTATGATTATAGGCTGCGCAATAGAGAACGCGATGCGCCGCGCCATTCCCCACAAAAGGACAAAATTCGAAATAAGGGCGCAGCCAAGTGATACCGCATTGACCACAATGACCCTGAAACTCCTTTAAGCCTGCAAATTCCGGGCATTTATGTGTTCGTATACGTACCAATCCGGATCCCCGATACTCCTGATCTGCCCATTGCCCGCCTCGGACTCCATGCTCCATTCCTGGGACAAAGAGCATATGCTGAACGCGCTGGCCATGGGTCCTAGAGTACCCTGATGAAAGACGTCAACTTGATTTTCTTCCTGAAGTCATCAACATACAGCTAAAAGAGGATACGCAGTGCTTGCGAGCCACCACCAGGCGGAAAGAGCATGATGAGGGACTTCCTCGAGGATATTCTGCGCCTCGTCCTGAGAATTTTCGTTGACCATGGTGTCGAGGTTTCCACAGTGCTCTGCCCCTAGCCTGGGTCGGGTTAATCATGTATGCTTGCACATTCATTTTCAATGACAGGACCACATTCAAGCAAAAAGCCTTGAGCCCACGCTGAGCGAGAAATGAAGAAGCTTTCCAAACCGATCACTGCACCTGCTACGCAAGATGTTTCCGTCATCCGGAAATCAACACCGCTGTCATCCGCAACGTCATGTCACGTGGTGGCAGGCAGTCACTCATTCACAAGGCTAAGGACCAAATTGATTGAAAAGCGGGTTGACCCGCGAATACACATATTCACTCCCTAGTGCTGTCCAAGGAAACTGATAAACCCAAAGGACAATATCATGGATACGAATGGATTGGAGGAAAAGGTAACATAGGAAGAGTAAGCGAAGAAGAGATAGCAAGGCATGTTTCAAATTAATTTTCCATCATACATGGTCTTGCCTGACACATAGGATCGTTCCAAGTTTGTACATGGCGCCGTTCCACCTGAAATGAGGGCAATGGCGAAAGGGGGGTTCTATGTGCAACGCCATATGCATATGCGTGAAGAAGCGGACAAAAGGTATTGAAGAAAGGCACGATGAAAGAAGAGGAATGAGGAAGGACACCATAGCAGGGGAGACTCCAAAACTCCAATCACCCAACATAGCTTGCACATGGCTGTTTTCAGATGGCCAGCGTAAA